TCTTCAAAGATTCTTTAAAATATATATATATAAAACCCTTAAAAAATTTATTTATTTGTGTCAAACTTTTATATATATGATAATATTACTTTTTTTAAAAAATAGAAATTTTGATATACTTGAATCTGAATAATTAAGGGCTTGAAATAATTAGACGAAAATTACAAATGTTAAGATTTAGATTTTAAATTTTTCGAATGTTAAGTTTTAATAAATTATATTAGTTAACTATATTAATTACGAAAAATTTTACAACGTTCGACCAGCATCGTTGAGTATCAATGAGCACCAACGAGCATCATTAATTTAATTTATAAAAATTTAATTCCTAAATCACTCGACTTGTAATTATAAATTAGTTAAAAATTTAAAGATAAATTATTTAAAATAAGATATTAATTACATTATTTTTTATAATCATTTTTAACAATTTTTAATTAGTTTTTAAAGATAAAATATAATTTTTTTATTGTTAAAAAACATGAAAAATAATTTAATTATATTTTATTTTAAATAATTTAATTTTTAATTAATTTATAATTATACATTGATTACTTTATAATTTTAATTTTTATAAACTGTATTAATGGTGATAGCATGGCTTAAAACATATGAAAAGTTCTTCACTTTCTGGATTCGGGATAACAATGTATATCGAAATCCGGCTAAATTTTTTGAATGCTACAGTCTAAAAAAATTGCATCCATGACAAACGCATGAATTTGCATGCGTTACCCAATTTTTGTTTTTAATTTATGGACATTACAAGTTGCTTGAATCATATCCTATTATCTTATTCAAGTTGTTAAAAATATGTTCTGCTATGCTGATAAAGTTGTTTGAATCATGTCATGCTACTAAGTTGCTCGAATCATACCCTGCTATCAAGTTGCTTAAATCATGTCATGTTACTCTGACACTACAAGTTTTTCTTCTTGCTACTCTGATAAAGTTGCTCGAATCATGACCTGCTATCAAATTTCTAGAACCATACCCTATTACCCTAATCAAATTGCTCAAACCATGCCTTTCTACCAAGTTGTTCGAACCATGTCCTGCTACCCTGGCACTACAAGTTGTTGAGATGTTAGGGTAACAGGGCATGGTTCAAACAACTTGGTAATAGGGCATGGTTCAAGCAATTTGGTAACAGGACATGGTTCGAACAACTTGATCAGGGTAACAAGGTAGGATAACAGGGCATGGTTCAAGCAACTTGGTAACAAGGTATGGTTCGAACAACTTGATCAAGGTAACAGGACATGGTTTGAGAAAATTAATAGCAGGCATGATTCGAGCAACTTTATTAAAGTAGCAGCAAGAGCAACTTGTAGTGTCAGAATAGCAGGGCATGGTTCGAACAACTTGATAGCAGGGTATGATTCGAGCAACTTTATTAAGATAGCAGGGCATGGTTCGAATAATTTAACTAGAGTAACAGGTATGATTCAAACAACTTGTAGTGACCATAAATAGATAAAAAAAAGTTTTAGGTGCCGCATGAAAATCCATGTGTTTGCCATGGATGGAAACACCCGATGTCACATGATAGTCTATATATCTTACATGGTACTATATCATTCGCCTTATTATAGTCAATGATTTTCGTTCGACATTATTCAAGTAATATTTTTTTTACACTACATTATTCAAAAAAAATTTAACCATCGAAACTCGCACCACGATTGCCTTATAAAGAAATGATACTCACCACTCCAAGATGGCTACCAATGCTCAGGGTGGTGATTCGATATACTCAAGCAAATCTTACTATAGCTCGTTGGAATTTTGTGGTGGACGCGTGTTGGCTTAAATTTGACCACGTAGCGATTTCACATTGGATGAGAGATAATAGCCTGTGTTATTTTTGTCCTCAATCTATCTTAAATGTTTCAATTTCATCCTTATCACCCGGCCAATTTATAAATCTTGTAATAATTTTACCGTAAAGTATACAAATGGTCCTTCAACTATTTTATTAAGTGCCTCAATTGTTAAAATTTATAAAATAGTCATCCAATTATAGAATGTTGTTTTATTAAGTCACTCAACTATTAAAAGTTACAAAATGATCATTCGATTATTCATTATATTCGAAATTCGTCCTTTTTTGTTAAAAAAATAACGGTTGTCTAAACTGGACATTAATATGATGACTAAGATATGATAGTCGTTTAAGATTTTGGGATCAAATTTTATCATATTATAATCATTACATTAATATTCAACTCAAAATACCGTCAAATTTTAACATAAAAACGAATTTTAAACTTAATGAATAGTTATGAGCATTTTATAAATTTTAATAATTTAATAAATTAATATCATACTGCTTGTGTACTTAACTGATTTTAACAATACATTTGATTGAAGTAAACGTCTAATCGTAAAAAATGATGAAATTGGCCAACATCAGCTGATGATAAAAGTAGAATTTTCTCTAATTATACATAGAAAAGTGGAAATGGAAACAAACAGAGAGAACAAAATCCATGTCAATTGATGCAGGCTGCATGGCAATATGTCTCTTTCATGTCTTAAATCAAGTGTTTTAATCTCTGATTATTTCATGTCTTTTTGTCAGTCTCAAATTGCTTGATATCTGAGATTTTCAGTCTTGTTTTGCTTGGCTGATTTGATTAAATTCCTCACCGATGATATCAGTTTTGATTGTGGCATCTGAGAATTTAATTTCTGATTTCATTTGGTAAAAAATCTGGGCATGGATATGATTTGTTTATGAGTTTAATCAAATTGGAATTTATATTGTTCAAATTCATCATATTATTGATCTTACCATGTCGAGTGATGTTTTGTCTTTTGGTGACAATATTGACAAGCTTAGTGTTTGTGATAATGTCTGTGAGAGTTTTAATAGAGGTTTCTATGGAGCAGCCATGATGGATTCTATAGGGATGATTCACTGCAACAACAGTTGCAGTACCCGCTTGGATTGTTAAACAACCACGGTGGTGGATTCGAACGATTGCATACAGAGAAGAGAGTCGAGGAAGTCGGTGAGGTTGCCGGAAATGGGGTCGACGAGAGATTGTCGACCGAAGATGTCATGAGGGTTGCAGGAGAGTTGTTTATCCAGTCATCTTGCCAAGGTATGGATGGTCTCTCGGTGCTCAATCGTGGTTTCGATCTTTCGTGTTCGGGACTTACCGATAAGGAGAGGAGGGATGCTGAGCTTGCTTTGCTCCTTCTAGCTGCTGCGGAGAGAGTTGGGCATCGACAATATGAGCGTGCAAGCAGATTGCTGAACCAATGTCAGTTCATGTCGTCCAAGACGGGGAATCAGGTTCAACGGGTAATCTATTATTTCTCCGAAGCACTTCGAGAGAAGATCGAAAGAGAGACGGGAAGTGTTTCGTTGAAGTCGGTGTTTAACTTTGATGAGTGGATGATGAGGCCTAATCCTAGTATATTAGCATTTCATTGAGCATTACCTTTTCCACAGATTATACAATTTGCTGGGATTCAAGCCATTGTGGAAAATGTTGCAAAGGCAAAGAGGATCCACATAATTGATATTTCAATCAAAAGTGGGGTACAATGGACAGTTCTAATGCAAGCTCTCGCGTCTAAGTAACCGCTGTCGCAACGCAGGGGAAACGGTTAATCGAGGGCACTGGTAAGCAGTTGTTAAGCTTTGCTCGAAGCTTGGGATTACCTATGGTCTCAGATATGTTGGATCTCAAAGAAGATCTCTTTGAACTTATGCTAAAGAAACAGTTACCGTCTATGCCGTGAAGATTCTCAGGAGCATGTTCACGATGCCGAACTGGCTTGAGAATATAATGAGAGTGATTAGACTCATCAACCCTTGTTTGATGGTGGTATCCGAAGTTGAAGCCAACCATAACTCGCCAATCTTCGTGAACTGTTTCATTGAAGCTCTTTTCTTCTACACCGCATACTTTGATTGCCTTGCGAATTGCATGAAATGGAACCATGAAAATAGAGATATATACTTTGGAGAGGGGATTAGGAATATGGTAGCCACTGAAGGCGAGGAAAGGAAGGTTCGGAACGTGAAGTTTGATGTTTGGAGGGCGTTCTTCACTTGGTACGGAATGGAAGAGGCGGAATTAAGCATGTCATCGTTGTACTAAGCATACCTTTCTCTCAAATCTTTTGCTTGCGAGAGTTTTTGTACACTCAACATGAACGGGAAATGCCTACTTGTCAGATGGAAGGGAACACTGATGCATTCGGTTTCGGTATGGAAGTTCCTTTAAAGTCCAAATTTAATGCCTTAAACATTTCCATGCTCTAGGCTAACTGTTACAATAGTGAAAGTCCAGAAGTAGGGGATGATCATAAAGTTCCATATGAATACCGAGATTTCGCCCCTCTGCTTCATATAATCACCCTTACGAGGTAGGGTTCCGTAAGTCCGGGATTTGAATCTTAACATTTACTATCATTTCCTATGCTTGTATGTATGATATCTTTTATAAGACTGCTCTATTTGATTGTAGCAGCATGTATGCCAAAACAAGACAAAAAAGAATCAGTTTTTTCATCCACAGAGCAGATTTTGTCATCCATTTTAGAGCAGATTCTCTCGTATCCGATGCATTTCCCGTACACATATTCGAACATGAATACCATGAATGAGCAAGAAATGAAGCTGGCCCTTCTCTAGTTTGGTTTATTTATGAGTATATATATATATATATTGTACTATTGCCGGCCTATATTGCCTATGCATTAAACGCCTGTAGTTGTTGGATTTATCAGCAGCAAAGGTCATACGCAAAAAGTTAGGGTCCCTATTTAATTTGACATAATTTGATCCTCTTATTTTTATAATGATATGGGATTTCCACGCCAGCATTTGAACTGGAGAATCAAATTAGCCCCTGCAACAGACCAAAAGTTTCAGAGAAAAAAATTAGGAGTTGCCATCATAACTAGCTGTATGCCCTCTCTTGTTTATAACTTTCAGATTAGATTTTATAATCATCTTTTGAGGATCTTACAGAGATAAAATGGATGTTAAGAGGGCCGATGAGCTAATCATGGCTGGTTCTACCGGTGAATCATCGGCTGCTAGCTTATCGAACTCGCACGATCGAGCTTCAACAAGGTATCTTCCATGGAATCTTTAGATAATCTCTCCAAGCTCAACAAGTTCTTCAATGGCAGTTGCTTTAATCTTACGGGCAACGATATCAAAGACATCGAGCTCGTGATCCTTTTATTAGCTTCGGCTAACGAGATCAGTAATCAACGGTTGGATCGTGCAAGTAAGTTCCTCAACCTATGTGATTTCTTGTCTTCCAATGTTGGGACAACAATCCAGAGAGTTGTCCATTATTTCAGCAAAGCTCTTCGAGACAAAATCGAAAGAGAAGATCGGGTAACCTTGTCGAAAACCGGTGATAATAAACTGTCACACCCTGATGAAACAATGGTGAGTTTGAGCCCTGCATTCATTACATGTTCATTGAAGCTTCCATTCATTCAAGTCACACAGTTTGCCGGTCCAAGCCATCATAGAAAATGTTGCTTCTTCGAAAAAGGTTCATTTCATCGACATGGCTATAAGAAGTGGAGCTCGATGCATATCCCTAATGCAAGCTCTCGCAACTCGGGATGAGCCCCGAATCGAGCTTCTCAAAACAACCGCCATCTGGACAACATTGCAGACCAAGATCGAAGAGACGTAACAAGCTGTCATGTTTCGCACAAGCTTTGAACATACCATTCCGTTTCAACACAGTCATGGTGACCAACCTCGAACACAGACGTGAACTTGTTCAAGTTAAATGACTACGAATCCATTGTTATCGGCTCCCGTCTCCTGCTGAGAAACACATTAACACAGCCCTGTAGCTTCGAATCTATGATGAGAGTGCTCATGAACTTGAATCCATGCATTGTGGTGATCACCGAGTTCCGAACAGATCACACGTCTGACATCTTCCTGGACCATTTCTCGCAAGCGTTAGCGTTCTACACCATGCTTTTCGATTGCCTCGAGGATTTTATGGATAAAACCGACGAAAACCACAAGGTTTTGGAAGGCTCATACTTGAGCTAATAGATTAAAAACATTGTTGCAGCTGGAAATGATGATAGGATCTCCATGGACATGAAAATCGAAGACTGGAGAAGGATATTCACGAGCTTCGGGATGATCGAAACCGAGCTGAGTTCACCGGCATTGTAACAAGCAGATTGGGAATTCTTGTAGCTGTATTATGAAGGGGAAGTCCCTAGTTGTTAACTAGAAAGAGACTCCAATTGTATCTTTGTCTACTTGGAAATTATGTGAACAAAGAAAACCAAGTAGGACTTGCCATGTAAAACGCAAAAATTTCCAGTAATTCCCAAATAGAACCTTTCTTTCTGGTCAAATTGCAATTCTAGTCCTTCTACTATGCTAAAAATTTAGGATTTAATCCTTATATTCTAATTTACATAATCTAATTATTATGTTATTAATTAATCTAAATTATTAAAAATAAATAAAGATGAAGTAGAGTTGGATTGAATTCGAGTTTAGGATAAAAGATATTCAACTTAACCTTAAATGATAATATAATATCTCTTAAATATCTAGGTATATTGTAATAATACTCCTCTATAAATATACTTTTTTCAATTAGGTCTCCATTTTATTTAATAAAAATAAAAAATTACATATATATATATATATATTGAGTCGGATAGAATAAGATCTGAGTTTTTTATCCCAAAAATCAACTTAAATTTTAGGTTAAATAGTATCTCTTTAAACCCCAAATATAATCGAACAAAAACATAATATTCAAATCGACTCTAAATACTCAAAAAATCCTAGTTATATTTAAGGTAAAATACATAAATGGTAAGCTGACTGTGGGATATTGTTATATAGTACTCTAATTATTAAAAGTTACAAAATGATCTTTTAAATATACAGAGTTGTTTTGTTGAGTCCTTTGACTTTTAAAAGCTACAAAATGACCACTTGACTATTCATTATATTCTAAATAAAAATTTGACGGATACGTTAACTTGTTAACTGAGATATGATAAAATTTTATCTCATAATCTCAAACAGCTATCATATCATATTTAGTATGTTAACATCTAACACAGATAATCGTTAAATTTTTAACATAAAAAATAAATTTAAAATATAATAAATAATTAAATTATCATTTTATAACTTTTTAATACCAAAATTACTTAACAAAACAACACATATAATAAAAAAATCATTTTACAACTGCTAATAAAGCAGTATGGACAAATTGTACACTTTTGCCTGCTATTTATATCAGTCAAATCTCAAAATATCAGAAACTTTATATAATTAGAAGAATTTAGAACTCGAAATAACAAATCCGAACTGATCCGAATTTACAAGTCTAGTCGAGAATATTTTATAGAGTATTGGAAAAAAGAAGGAGAAACATCCAACAGGCCTTTAAAAGAGAGTTCAAGAACAAGCCTTTCAAGAACTTAGAAGCAGTACTGCAGTAGAACTCAAAGAAAGTCTAAAACACCAGCACTTCCGGTGGCTAAAAAATGGAGGCAAAGATCACCATGACCGAGACATGGCTGAGGAAGCACCGTTTGTTGTACGTAGGATCCACTAGACACTCTTTTATCCACGCCATTCGTGATGGGAACATCGATATCTCCGCCTTCAAAACATGGCTGGTAGTACTTTTCTCATCTTTGATTTTTGCTATTTCCATGCTTAAATTGCATTCTAACCCCAGAAAAATTCTGGGTTTTTGTATGTAAATACGGTTGTTTTGGATTCATATGGGGTTTTTTTTCAGGGGCAAGATTACATATTTGTTAGAGCTTTTGTGCCGTTTGTAGCGAGTGTGTTGACTAAAGCTTGGAAAGGGTCAAATGATCGTGATAATGGTGTTGAAGTGATATTAGGAGGTGTGTCTGCTTTAAATGATGAGATCTCTTGGTTCAAAAAAGAAGCTTCTAAGTGGGGTGTTCAGCTCTCAGATATTGTTCCCCAGAAAGCTAATCAAGAATACTGCAGGTAGTTTCTTATATGTATATGGTGTTTACCTAGTGTTTGTTGTTTTGATCATCCATGTTTTGGTGATTGCCTTGAATTTTGTTTTTCCATTTTCGTAGCATATGAGGGTGGAAATTTGTATTGATTTGAACAATTTTGTGATTGTGGATGGTTAGGACCTCTGTTACTCGCGGATTTGCTACGAGTGAGAGTATGTTTAAATTTTTTCAAGTTTTTTCATGAATTTGGAGGATTCCTTGATGACCATATCTTCATGCTCATGTTCATGTATGCATCAAACACAAACACTGAATCTCGAACATAGATTAGGACTTTCGAGTGAGTGTTCGACATATTTCGAGTGAGTAATGTTAGATACATATTGGGTTATGCATCCGACAAAGTTGTCTAGGTGGACATAAGTATTTCGAGAGAAAAAATGAAGAGTCAGAGCATCGTTGCTTGCTTGTTAGGAGCCGACTTCATAGTGATTGTTATTCCGATGATATAGTGTTTGCTTGTTCGTCTTCGGGTTCATCTCTAATAGAAAAAGGCCTCCTCAGTTGAATTCCCGAACATTTTTTACTTGAAAAGAGCTATATGTGTGTATGTTAAGATCTTTGAAGATATGGTGAGGCTTGGTGTGACTTATTTGGATGATTTATGAAACGAACACTATCTTTGTTAGACGTTACTGGTTGAGAACATGTCTCTTGAGAACTCAAATTCAAGAACTGAATTGAAAGTAAAAGGAGGTAACCTGCTTCTTTACTTACTCGATTGCCCTTTGTAAGCCCATGTCGAATTTGTAGTGTCTGCTGTGCATATTTGTTCTTTGCATTTACAGGTTTTCTGTCCTTAAGTCTGTGTCAATAGTTTCCTAGGTGTGCCTGGAGCTGTGCATATATGTTGTGTGTGTTTATGTGTTTTCTATCATTAAGCTTGCGTCGAACTCATGTGTTCTGTGTTTATGCGCTTTCTATCATTAAGCCCATGTCAAACTCGTAGCGTCGTAGACATCATAAATGTGCATTGAGTTGTGTATCTATGTTCTGTGTTTATGTGTTTTCTGTCATTAAGCCTGTGTTGAACTCGTAGCGGTAGACATCATAAACGTGCATTTAGCTCTGCATATATGTTTTGAGCCGTGCAGGTATGTTCTTTGCCCTGAGCCTAAACATGTTTCGTGACTGAATTCTTAAAAGCAAACGTGTTATTAACATGCTGTTGCAGTTTTCTCGAGAGCTTAACAAGCCCGGATGTCGAATACACTGTTGCAATCGTAGCGTTTTGGGCGATCGAAACTGTCTATCAAGAGAGTTTCGCTCACTGCTTGGAAGATGACAGTAAAACCCCACCAGAACTAGAGGAAACTTGCCGAAGATGGGGCAGCCAAGGGTTCGGCGAGTACTGTAATTCCCTCAGAAAAATCGCCGATCGACAGCTGGAAAATGCCTCAGATGATGCGATCACGAAAGCTGAAGCAACGTTCCTGCAAGTTCTTGAATATGAAGTCGAGTTCTGGAATATGAACCATGGAGGAACATGAACGGCTGCATGTCTTGAGAATATGACATCTTAAGCATTACTAAGACATGGATGTCTGCTATCTGCATGTACTACTGTATTGGGTAAAGTACATTAATGGTCACTGAACTTTGTTTAAATAACTATTTTGATTATTGATTCGAAAATTGTAAATTTATCACTAAATTTATTAAATTATTAAATATGTATTTTTTTAAAATCATTAAATATATTAAATTGTTATAAAATTATTGTTAAATTTTATAATTACCTTTTTACATGGGAAGAATTGATTGGAGCATATCATCATTTTTAAAGGAAACCATACCAAAATTAAAATGATAATGAATTCAAAGTTAAAAAATAAATTTACTATTTTTTTATTAATGAAGCTTTAAGGAGAAACCCTAACCGTTCTCTCCCTCCCCTCTCTTCCCCTTAATTTTTCTTTCTTTACAATTGTGTTAATTTCTGTACATCAAAAAAACTTTTTCTTCCTTAATTTTATTTAGCCAACGACGGTCGACGATACCGATTTTGATATTGATCGTCAATCGTTGATTGTCTTTTCTATGATTGTCTTTTCTCTGTCTTTTTTAGTTTTATAATAAGAATAATTATGTTTTTGTGACATGTTTATCTATGCATTTATGACACGTTTATATATGCTTTTATGACATGTTTTTCTCTATCTTTTGGTAGTTTTAGGTCGTTTGGTTGTTGTTTTCGTTTATTTTTTCTTAGGGTTGGATTTGACATCATCACGACTGATCAAGATATGCTTGATTGTTAGCATGTTGATCTATCTTACATTGGACCTTTAGATTGATTTGGATATGTGTTTTGCGTTTGTGGATAGTTTTCTCACGTCTCTTGACTCTGATTTACGATTTGTTGATGAGCTTTTAATAGTTCTATCCTCTTTTTATGATTCGTTTTCCGATATAGTCAACTTATTCGTATCTTTATTTTGTTCGAGCATTAGTTGGATTTTCTAACTTTTTCCTTTTATGATACTTGTGTGACCTAAGTAACTAGTTTTTGTGTGAATGGTTACAAAAAAATATTCTAATTATAAATTAGATTACATTTATGGTTATACTTGTAGTTCTTCGTTATAATTATGAATATTTTTTATTTTAATAAAACTAGCCACTTTTTATAAAAAAATTAAATAAATAAATATACTGAAAAACAATGAAAGGCCAAAGTAAAATATTTACTAAAGTAAAGGGGCTAAAGCAGGTATTACTGCAAAGAAGCCAAGGGCTTCTCTTTAGTGAAACCCAACCCATTAAGAGTACCACAAGAGGTTTAAGTGCTTTAAACCTCAGTAACCTAGCTAGAAGAACCGAGCGAGCACTCATCAATGGCCGCTTTCTGCAACTGAAGAATCGGAAGCTAAACAAATCTCAGCACAACAACTTAGGTAACACTTTTAACTTTTCTTTTTCATGAAAACAAAGTTCGTATCCTATCTGGGTTCGATTCCTTTGGGGTATCTAGAACGTGCTACTGTTTGTTTATACTATGATTTTAGGGTTCTATAATCTTCACTCAGTACCCATTCTTTGTCAAAAATGGGGGGGGGGTTTGCATCTTTTTTCTGGTTTTTTTTTAGCTTTTTTCCACCATTGTTTTGTTGAGTTAATAATTTGTTAATTCATATAAAAAAGTAGGATTAGACCCTAATTATGAGTAATTAGAGAGTTTTTTTTGGGTATAATCATATGTATATGATTCATTGTCCAATTAGAGAGTGTTTAGGACGTAAACTATCGCTTTATTCATTTTAGTACATAAATTTTTAATTTTTAGGTTTAGTTTTTATTTTATTTTAATACCTAAGGTTTTGATTTTTTTTAAATTTAGGTACTAAAACGATTAAAACTGATAATTTAAGTATTAAATTTGTTAATTTTTTATCGATAGGGATTAAAATGAAATAAAAAGTAAATATTAGATATAGTTTTAAAAAATTTAAAAGTTTAGGTATTAAAATGAATCAAAATGATAGTTCAGAAACTTGTTTTTGATATTTGAGCTTTTGGTTTCACAAAGGGTCAAATTGCAGAGAAGGTCCTTGCACCATGCATTTTGATGGATTGTATGTCATTTAACCTATTAGACATATTTGCAGCATTGTGGATTGTGAACCTTGTTGAAGATTTCTTTATGTTTGCAGAGTGGGAAGTAAAGAAGGATGTTAACGGCTGATTCGGATTCTGTTTTAAGGTTGGTAGAGATAAAAGGGAGAGGAAGGGCTCTCGTTGCATCGCAACCTTTGAAGGCGGGGCAAATCGTTCTCCGGGATTCTCCTATCGTCGTTTATTCCGCATTTCCGTTGGTTAAATCTCAATCATCAGCCTCTTATTGTGACAATTGCTTTAGGACACTCTCCTCGTCGTCGTCGAATGTAGTGCCATGTCCATCGTGTTCTCATCATCATCTCTTTTGCAGTCCGAATTGCCTAACTGCGGCAACGGCCTCCACTCATTCGCCTTGGGTTTGCCAGGCTCTTAGTCGTCTTCAGGACTGCTCTTCTCTTGTTTCTCAACCTCTCGAACGGCAAGTACAAGCTCGGTTTCTTATAGCTGCGTATAACGTAGCCCTCGTTTCCCCGTCGGATGTGATTGATGTTCAATCATGGATGTCAACTGATGTGATGAAAATTTTGAACTTATTCAATCGTGGATGTCATTGATGTGATGATTGACTGTAGACGACGATCAACTCAAATGTAAAAAGATAATAATATGTGGTCACCAGTATAATATCCTACGATTTGTACCCCAACTATTTACACCGTATAAAAGAACTCCTCGATTACTAAATTTATAATAATATATTATGTTTAATTTCGAAAGAATATTATTAAATTCTATAATAAATTTAAAAAATGCCAAATTTGATCTAATTTTGTTCTTAAAAAAATCAAATTTGATCAACCTAAAGTAACCTAAATAATTAGCTAAACAAGTAATTAACATACTTTTGTACCGGTGTAGTTAATGTTTCATCCGGTCTGGTCCGACATAGGTAGCCATGAACAGTCCGACGACATATCTAAATTATGAATATTTTAATTTCTCGAACATAAAGATTCGAGAAATTCATCGAGATCCTATAGTCGATGACCTCATGAGGTTGCAACCGCAATTTAATATTATACTTTCGTAACTCTAATACGAAAAGAAAAGCATAATGCCCCCAAGATACAAAATTATTATCGTCCCTGTTTCACAGCTCAAGACAGCCAGTCTTATATTATATAAGGAAGAGGAAAGGTTCTAAACTATTCCCTTCAGAAGATTAGCCGCTGTGGAGATGGCGGCTCCGGTGATGGCACATTGCAACAGGTGCTCATGGGAACCATCCTCGCATGTGAATGCCACTGTCATCCCTGTAAGTGCCCCCGCAACTGCACTGTTTTTCTGCATCAATAACGATGTCGATCAATGATTATCTGAGTACTAAAAAGTTGAGTTCCGGTGATTCTACTACTATCCCGAGCAGACTTGCCTACTGATCAAGATGTTTCAAGATTCGAGTCGAGTCTATTTTAGGTTCTGAGAAGAGAGTTGGAACTTACCCAATCGTGAGTGCCACGGACCTCTTGGAGACCATATGTGATACCTGAATATAACCCGGCAGCCAGCCCTGTATAAGACCGATTAATAGTTTATGTCAAACGAAGCATTTGACAAATCGACTACTTGCAGAACAACCGACTTCGGGAACTTGCAAGGACTAAAAGCTTACCCCATTGGAGCGATTCTTTTCCGGTGCTCTTCACCTGTTTTATAAGATCATAACAAGTAATTAGCAATCAACACACAGACACGCAAAACTCGAATGAAACAAGTATCCATTAATGGACATGAATATAAACTCACACCTGAATAAGAACATGAAGGTATATATTCCAAGTATATTAGAGCAAAAAGGGTATCCAATTGTATTCGGGTATGAACACGAGTACCCGTACAATTCAATATGAACGACGATGGGTAGCAAAACAGACTTACTTTTATGCAACGTTCAAGCCAAGTGCAACTCTTGTGTAAATAATATAAGGTGTGTGTTTATCTATACACAAACTCAAACATAAGAGAACGAATAGAATTGTATTCAATCATGCTCGGATATTGACAAGAGTAGAAATTTGAGTTTAACTATTCAATAAGACCTTTTATTTTTGAAGCTCTTTAATTTGACCCCTCCGATATTAGACAAATTAAGTTTGCTCCCTCAAATTTTAAGTTCAAATACTTAATTTGATCTCTTCCGATATCCAATCTTGGTTCCGTCCCTGTCGGATTCGTACGTGTATGTAACATTCATAACATATAGAGATAGTAAAATCAAATGCTGAGATCTAGACTAGCTCAACGAAATCCATAAACAGAGAGATGATTGCAGACAGGCATACATTATTATAATATTAGTGAAATTAAGAACTCACCATTGCTTCGAAGGAATTTTTATTGGTTTTTCCTGCAATCCACGTATAAAACAACAATAATTTAAACTTCAACTAGCAATCAAAATACCAAATCGTGTTAAAAAAAATCGATAAAGAAGGGTAACTACTTGACCAACTTCCATCAAGAGCTCTATGACAGCCCTCACTGGCAACAGCCTTAACAGCGCCAATCTGCATATCCAAACCAACAACAGAACATCGTATAGTTTCATTGGGGTATTGTTTCAAACACAAAGACGACATATATATGTATGAATGAATGAAAGTGTATACGTACGCCAGCAGCTTTGACAAAGCTATCAGCAACACGGTTGAGGAGAGGGTGGCCGAGATCGAAGAAGAATCCGCCTTTGTCGAAGCTACGCATTGTTTTGGTTTTATGTTCTTTTTTTCTGAGTTTTCTAGTTAATAACAGTAATAATGATGAGTTGTTGAAGCTGATGAGTGAAGAAGGAAGTAGAGGGGGTAGGGTTTGAGATATTTTGAGGGAATAAGAAGAGGACAAGAAGTAGAAGAAGAACACGTGTTGGTAAGAGCTTGCACGTCTCCTGCATGTGGCGTTCTGTGATTCTATGTTTTCGCCACCTATTATCGCACGCCGAATGCCACACATGTGCATGCACTTCTTTATATTTAGGGTAAATTACCATTTTAGTACCTAAACAATTAGTTATAATCCGTTTTAGTAGCTAAACTTTTAATTTTTAAAGTCATGTCTAAAATTTAATTTTTGTTTCATTTTAGTGCTCCGTTCAAAAAAATTAAAAGTTTAAAAACTGATAGTTTATGTATTAAATACATTAAAGTTTTAATGACATATACTAAAATGAAACAAAAATTAAATGTTATATATGATTTTAGTACTCCATAAAAACTTAAATATTAAAATAGATGAAAATTAATAATTTAAATATTAAATTTGTAATTTACCCTTCTATTTAAATTCGGCAAATAGGATTACTTTGTCGAATTGATATGAATTTAATTGTTCTTTTATAGATTATGAGTATCTCTATGTTTAACGATTTGGATAAAAGTTAATATCATTGATTCAAATAGGATAAACTTTAATTATTAACAACTAAAATTATTACTAATTTAATTATATTTCAGACATTTAAAATTAAATCTAAACAAAAAAAAGTATAATTAGACATTTAATTATATTTTATCTTTCTTAAAAATGAAAGTTATACCGTCTTTATTTTGTCATATTAACATCAAAATTATCATTCTCTAACATTTTCTCGACACTAAAGATATTAACAAATCCATTTTATCATTTTAATTTTTTTTTTATAAATCTAAAATTTGTAATTTAAGACTTGTAAAACCACAAACTATTCCAACCTACAATTTTATTATTAAATTATTTAAACTTTAAGGATTAAAATAAAAGAGAGAAATTGAATGATAGAATTTATAATTTGCTTTTAAACATTCTCGAGGATTTGAATACTAAAACCTTTTGATTAAGCTGAGACAACCTATTATCATTTTAACAATTAAAATAGTCATTTAGGTATAGTTTAACAACCTTGGTATATGTTACCCGAAACAAGATATACTAATAATTTACAAGTCCTGTATAAACAATGAGGTTCTCAGCTACAATTTAAGAAAATTTGGGCTGCTTAATGACCCATCGTTCTAAACCCTCTCAATATATATACACAGTCGGTCACACGCACCCCAAAACCGAACAACAAAGGGCAAAATATTACTTCCCCCAAAACTATTCATAAAGCTTTTCAAATATGACAGAGAACAGATTCAAAGAAATATAACAGAAATTGACAAAACGGGTAATATTCTACAAATGCAACAGTCCAGGGCATCTGAAAGGACATTGTGGACTTGGCCGTGGCATGATATTCTGTACATTTCTTCTAGCATTCTGGTGGCAGCATTGACGGAGCCATGTAATCCCCCACCCCCACCCCCACCCCCCAAAAAAAATTTACCATTAAAAAGAATAGGGATAATTACCAATTTAGACCTTTATATTTTGATTTATTTTTATTTTACCTCATTTTCTATTGTTAATTTTATTTTGCCCCTGAACTAAAATCTTAGTTCTATCCCTGGGTGGCAGCACTGCACACAATTGTTGCCCCCCCTCCCCCAACGATGTCTCGTCTGCGCTTTCCCTCTTTCTGTGAATCCATGTCCACTGTTTTTCTTGCGTAGCCCAAGACTGTTTTATTCAACAACACGGATGAGTCGAATAAAACAAACTAGAATGTTTCAATGCCAGACAATTATTGTTGGACTACAACTTATGATCCATTTACAGTCATTTCAGGTGACGATTTTGGCGGTATCAATGACGAGTCCTCTCCACTTAATTCTCTATTGTCTGCGGGGCTATGCAGTTGATCTGAACAGATCCTAGGAGGTTCTTTTTCTTTATGGCTGTCCTCTGAACTATTGTCATCAGAATCTCTGGGACCGATGGATTCCTTCTCCAGATGATTTTCCTCACCTGAGCCTTTGTTTCCCTCGGCCGAATGGGTAGATACATGCAAGGCGTTTGCAGTTTTCTTACTAGGCAACACGGCCTGGCTTAATGTTGAACACAAAGCCGCAAAGACGCTACCTTTTGACTTTGAGCTTTTTCCCAACCATTGCTTCTTGGCAAACTCCTGCTCCTTGGGGTTCAGCTTACGCTTCAACCTAAGGGACTCCATGGTTCCTTCATCTTCCTCCAAGGTTTCAGTCTGCTTCCTGGGAGGGGGTGGCTTATAGTCTTCATCATCATAGTCAACAAGTCCACCAGATCTCGGACTACAAAATTAAATCGAATATATCAATATGAACCCAAACACACACCAAGGCATTTTTAGTAGTCAAACCTCCAGGATGCGATCACACCAATACCTTGATGATGAGTGACATGCCACAACTCCATTGGATGAAACAGGCTGAGACTGCACTTTCTGAGGACGAGCTGCAGATTCTGTATCATCTTCATCACTGTATGCATCACATTCAATCAATATAGGGGGCATGGTTTAGAGGTGAAGTGTCAACTCATCTCTTGACAAAAGCAAACCTGTCCTCATTGAAATAGTCTTCCTCCTCTTTCTCCAAAGCACGCTCATCAATTCGTTTTCTAGGGTCTGGTGCATTAACATTCGTTTTTGGTCCAGAAGTTTCCGAGCACTGCAAACAGACAAATCAGGTGAAAGAAGTTCTATATCTAAAAATCTCAGTTGTAAAATTGGTCGGGGGAACGGGAATACCTGCTCGTATTTAACTTTCAAAGAGTGAACAGAAGCCAATTTCTCAAACTTTACCAACTGATCCCAAAATGAATCAACAACGTATCTAACCAATAATTTCAGGTTTTCCTGGAAGAAACAGTTATTATCAGACAGAAACTTCCAGAAATGTATAAGATACAAATATAGTGCGGGGATTAGTATTCACCTTGCGGATATATTCAAAAAGTTCCAAGACTGCAGAGTTCAGCACATTGTAACGATTTCCATTAGCAACAAAAGCATCTATAACTGGTTTAAGAAGGTTATTCTTAACAAAATGATTTATCAGATGTTCATCCTGCAAGATGATAGCATAATTAAACTAGTTAAAACATATATCAGACTCAATCAGCCAGTCAAGAAAAGTGCTAATTTGCACACACACACAAAATCATAACTGTTTATAAAGTGATGATTTTTCCTTATTAAATAAGGGGAAAATTTTACCAGACGGAGAAATTGCAAATGCATAAAAAGTGAAGGGAAAAAAGTAACAAATATAACATGTACAACGAGCCCAGTGAGTGAAAAAAAGATTTTAGAAGGTGATAAAATATGTACATTCTGCCCCAGTATAAATTTAATACCCTTCTGAGCTGGATATCAATGGCACAAATAAACAAAATAGCTTAATAATTAATTAACTAATGAGCCATCTTAAACAATATCAGTAGACACTGGTGGCAGGAGATCTCCAATAAACCAGCAATCTATATGTGTCAGACATGGTAAGCATCTACTAGATTCTCGGCTGCAAACCTGATCATATAGGAGTCTGATATAAATACTACAGGAGATCTGCCCTAAACCAGCAAACCAAGTGTCGGACATGAAAAGTTATGGCAACATACATGCACCTTCCATATCTCAATTTCATTTTATATTCATTTTATATTCATTTCCATTTCTGTTTTTAAAGGTGTTAGGGTTCAGATGGCATATGATATTTCTTTCAAAGATTAAACCAAATTAACTTACATGACAAGAGAGAATAGTGCGAACAAAGCGAACTGCAGCAACTACCAAGTACTTTTCCCTTCTCCGTGTCAGTAACAAAACTTTGTCAATAACATTGTTAAGGAGAAAATTACACCTGCAAACAATGAAGATAAGGTAATTAACATCTTAGGTTTAATAAGCCAATTTTTTTATATGAATAGACAATGTAAGCCTAAAGATTACTTTATCCCGTAAGAATGGTGCAAAACACAAAAGCACAGCAATTCACATATGCTTAACAGAATTTCAGGCTTCGTGTTATTTTGACTTTCAACTCTTCCGGCATTTCTTGTTGATTTACAGGTTGATTTGCAAGCCTCATCAGAAGAACATGCTAATATTATGACATCAATTAGCTGCCCCAAATGCTTTTCGTAAAAGATATCAATAATTCTCTCTCTCTGCAGCAAAACCAATATAAGGTTTAGTACTTAAATGAATGATCTTGGAAGCAGTAACCAAACCTGAATGGAGAAAATAAATTAAATCTTACATGAAAGTTAAGTGAAAATTTTCCAACAATCAGCAGATATATATTATAAAAAACAAATCAACATCCAAAATTTTTACACCCGCATAAATAAACTCCACTGTTGTAGACACAAAATGTGATGATAACACAGATATAAGGTATGAAAAGCACATGATAAGATAACAAACACATGAGAAATGAATATCACATGATAATAATTCTTCAGCCATGATTTCTTGGTAAGTTACATAGTAACAATCTCTCAATGATCAACAAAACAAAAAAAAAAGCCAAACATAAGTCAGCTAAAGTCTTATATCGGTAAACAGTCATCAAAGGGAGAACAAACACAAGCCACTCTATAACTCTATGCATGAAGATCCAAATTCAGGTTATTTTCAACTTCCCTGTCCTGCAAGTTGCAACAATACCTGGAATCTAACCTGATGTGTCTTTGCGTCTCTAAAAACAGAACCACATTCTTGTACAGTAATGCAAGACATGGCTTAGAAAAGAGGTTAAGATAGATCCAAAGTCAATGACCTTGAGCTCCAATTTCCCATCTACCAAAATATTCACTAAACAAAGAAATCAAGTATTAAAGGTAGGCACCTGAGCTCCTGACAACGTGAATGAATCCAGTAAACTGCGAAGAATTTCAAGAAACTGGCAGTGCATAGTCTCCCCAAAATCTGTTACCATACCTTTAACCTGTAAGCGTACAGCTACATTAGTTCATCTAGTTCCACATAA